GTATCATGTTTGATCTTCGTTTACTACGTTTCAAAAAGATAGTAAATAGCGTAATTAATAAAGTAATTAACAATGATAATAATGACTTTGTGTGTGTCGTATCACTCGATGCTTAAGCTATTGATTGATTGCAACTTCAAATCTAAAAAACTCTGATTTGTTTTGACTTTATAATTATTGTTTATTTCGGCAAGAACTGATGGGTAGTGCTAGGACAAACTAGGGTATCATTAATTATAACATTCTTAACAATGTTTTAAAAGTAAAAAAGATTAAAAAATTATTTAATTATTTGACATTTTCGTCAAAAATATCTATAGGATGAATTTAATCAATCATTTATTTAGAGTGTCAAGTGTTTTTAATATTAAAAAAACTACTCTCTTTTCAAAATAGTTGTCATTCTAACTTTAATTTTTTTTTCATATTACGTGTTATTCTGGAATTTCAATACATATTTATTACCAATTTTTTTAATTTTATTCCTACTTTTAATTTTATTGATTATTCATATCAAATAAAACAATATATTATTTAGGGATAGAACAAAATTTTAATGTATTTTTTTAATTTGGGTGAAAAACTTCATAATGACAATTATTTTGAAACGAAGAGAGTAGTTAAAACACTTTATGATTGTTAATGATAAAGATGCTCTAAGTATTAAATTATTTATTAATTAATCATGAAAAACATTAATCAAAATGAAATTTCTTACTCCAAAAATTTCGGGGACCAATTCTCATTCACACGCGCATGAGTTAGAACGTGAGGCCGTGAAACGTATCGTGGTGTCATATATTCGTCTCAACTCCCAAGCACGTATTTATTTATCTTCACATAAACTAAAATCAAATTGATCGATTAAGAAAAATAGGTGTCCTACAAGATATATGAAGAAACTTTTTTGTTTCATACGAAGAGAAGAGATACACATATGAACGTAGATTTGGACTCTGTTTTTTTTTTAAGAGAACAAATAAATCTAGGGCCATAAAATTCTAAAAAATATATATATAATTTTAAAATAGTGTTGGTGGAGCGAAAATTTCTAAAAATATGCTGTTTATTGATTTTTGGAAATATATACAACTATAGATAATCGTAAAGATATTTGTTTAGTCTAGAAAATATATGAGGACGAGTCTAGAAAAAAATCTACTTAGGAGAACATTTATACAAATTTGGGTTGACGTATATTATTCTGATTATAAATATTTGGCTGAATTTCTTTAAATATACCATCGTTCCGATAAATAATGTTTTAAATTTATTTTGATGCGAGTATAACATCAATAAAAAGATTTAGCTAAATATATAATATTAGTTATTATATTTTTTCTATTGATTGATCTAAAAACTAAAACTAACATATTGATGACTATAAATTTAGAATAATTAATACACTATTCGTATCAGTTGATTAAATTTACGTAAAATATTTGCATGATTTCTTCTAAAATTGTTTATATAAAAAATATAAAACTCATTTATGTTAATTTATCAGATTGTTTTTTACGTATTTGTACGACTTAAAAGAATTATAAAGTAT